AAAATGTTGGATAATAAGGAGGGATTAAGGAAAAGCCTATTAAACTTCAAATTACGTTATGATTTTACAAATTAAGCACCAAAACATCATGTTTTACAACAAAGTGACAGAAAAAGCACGTCAATGCACGATAATGTTATGTAGTAATTACTTTATTTAAGAATTTAGTGCCAAAACATAGCAATGTATTGAAACAGCTGTGTATCCGGGCGGGAGGCAGACTGCGTTGGATAATACAGGACGTTGGATGAGCGAAGGTTGGATAAGCGAGACTCTACTGTATTATATTTTGACTTCCAACTTTCCTAATGATTCTACATAGCTATATACATTCACTTATGAGCAGGAGTATAAATGTATTTGCACATGCCAATTAATTACCTTGTGATTTTGCTAATATCCCAAACTATAACTGAAGGTCAGTAATATGCATTTCGATTCAACTGCACGCACTGTGGTCTCTTCTGTTTCTATAGCTCCGAAGGGCAAGCCAAAGACAGAGTAAAGAGTTGCAGCAGCTGCTATATTGATATGCAGAACACACAACACTCAGACTCCACTTGGTTATGTGTTTGTTTGCGGAATTATCTTGGACGTGCCTTTAAGCTGCCTTTCCTCTTATGGCAGCCCCATGGATTTCAAAGGGTTTTCTTAAGCAAGGAACACTCACAGGTGGCTTTGTCAGTTCTGAAATACAGCCTCCTTATCTAATATATATCCTTCTAATATAGCTTTCGACAGTACATAGCCTTCTCAGCTTTCAAGTCTGCTTAGTTTTCCAGATCAGATGGGATTTAATAATAATATAATAATAATAAACTTTATTTATACCCCTCCACCATCTCCCACCTTGCCACCTTGTCTCTCTCCTGAGGAATCTGTACAAGGACCAAGTAGCAACAGTAAGAACTGACCACGGAACAACAGACTGGTTCAAGATTGGGAAAGGTGTCCGGCAAGGCTGCATACTCTCACCCAACCTTTTTAATTTGTATGCAGAACACATCATGCGATGTGCGGGGCTTGATGAATGCAAGGCTGGGGTGAAAATTGCTGGAAGAAACATTAACAACCTCAGATATGCAGATGACACCACTGTGATGGCCAAAAGCGAGGAGGAGCTGAGGAGCCTTCTAAACAAGGTGAAAGAAGAAAGCGCAAAAGCTGGGTTGCAGCTAAACATCAAAAAAACCAAGATTATGGCAACAAGAATGATTGACAACTGGAAATAGAGGGAGAAAATGTGGAGGCCGTGACAGACTTTGTATTTCTAGGTGCAAAGATTACTGCAGATGCAGACTGGCCAGGAAATCAGAAGACGCTTACTTCTTGGGAGGAGAGCAATGTCCAATCTCGATAAAATAGTAAAGAGTAAAGACATCACACTGGCAACAAAGATCCGCATAGTCAAAGCAATGGTATTCCCAGTAGTAACCTACAGATGTGAGAGCTGGACCATAAGGAAGACTGAGCGAAGGAAGATAGATGCTTTTGAACTGTGGTGTTGGAGGAAAATTCTGAGAATGCCTTGGACCGCAAGAAGATCCAACCAGACTATACTTCAGGAAATAAAGCCCGACTGCTCATTGGAGGAAAGTATATTAGAGTCCAAGATGAAGTACTTTGGCCACATCATGAGAAGACAGGAAAGCCAATATGCCAATATGCTGGGGAAAGTGGAAGGTAAAAGGAAGAGGGGCCGACCAAGGGCAAGATGGATGGATGGCATCCTTGACGTGACTGGACTGACCTTGAAGGAGCTGGGGGTGGTGACGGCCGACAGGGAGCTCTGGCGTGGGCTGGTCCATGAGGTCACGAAGAGTCGGAGATGACTGAACGAATGAACAACAACAAAACCATCTCCCCAACGGGGACTCGGAGAAGCTTACATGGGGCCATGCCCGAACAACAAACTACAATATAACAATACAAATTGCAGTAAAATAAACAACATAATATTAAAATCTAAAACATCAAAACATATAAAGCAATATACACGGAACATAGGAACCAAACATAATGACAGAGAGCGGGCCGCATGTACATAAAATGATTTTAAAACTCCGGGTGAGATAAGGGCGACCATTTTTATGTTTATATTTTTTTTTGTTAATCCTATGGTTATGTTGTTTTTACTCTGTATGTTTTGTGATATTACTTGGGAACCGCTCTGAGTCCCCTCGGGGAGATAGAGCGGTATATAAATAAAGTATTATTATTACTACTACTACTACTACTACTATTATTATTATTATTATTAAGGGGGCAGAACTAATTGTAAGGGAGAACGCATAGAGAGATGGGAAAATAAACAAACCTTCCTACATTTGGTGCCTTTTGGGTATTTAGGCCTTTTTTGCAGAATATTTCTGACTCATGGCAACCCTAAGGGGAACCGATCATTGATGAGATTTACTCAGAAGGGATTTGTCTTTGCCTTCCTCTGAGGCCGAGAGAGTGTGACTTGCCCAAGGCCACTTAGCAGGTTTTCTTGGCCAAGATCGGATTTGAACCCTGGTTGCAAGAGTCATAATCCAATACACAGATCTCTGTACCATAATGACTCGTTTGCAAAGTAGCTTCAAAAAGCCCCTATAGCAGAATCTCTATTGCCCTTACAGCAAAATAAAAAATGCACATTATGACAACAGTTTAGTTTATACCAACAAAACTGAGCAAAAGAGGAAGGTACAAACACTGGTAACACTCACCTTGGGTGCATCTACACCAGGTCTGGGCAAACTTCAGCCCTCCAGGTGTTATGGACTTCAACTCCCACAATTCCTAACAGTCTCAGGCCCTTTCATTCCCCCCCCCCCCCCAGCCACTGAGGTGAGAAAGGAACGAGCCTGAGGCTGTTAGGAATTGTGTGAGTTGAAGTCCTAAACATCTGGAGGGTCAAAGTTTGCCCAGGCCTGATCTACGTGTCTTCTAAAAATATTGTGTTGATTTCTATCAGGAACACATTTCCTCTCTTCTTCCTCTGCCTTTCCTTCCCTTTCCTGTCTTTTTATCTGCATCTACACAGGAAAATGAGTTCTTCTGATACCATTTTTTCAAACTGCTCTGGGAAACAAAACACTGGTCATCCTTATTCAAATGAAAAATGATCTTGAAATTGAACCCAACAAGATAGCTGATTTTTTTTTCCAGTGGTGACATTTTGCCTGCATTGTCAGAAGTGTGAGGTCTGCTAGAAACTAGGCAAGTGAGGTTTATATATCTGTGGAATGTCCAGAGTGGGAGAAAGAACTCTTGTCTCCTTGATGCAAGTGTGGATGTTGCAATTGCTCGCCTTGATTAGCATTGAATGGCTTTGCAGCATCAAAGTCTGGCTGCTTCCTGCCAATTGCAACATTCACACCTGCCTCAAGCAGACAAGAGTTCCTTCTCCCACTCTGGACATTCCACAGATATATAAACCTCACTTGCCCAGTTTCCAACAAACCTCACTACGGATGCCTGCCATAGATGTGGGTAAAACTTCAGGAGAGTATGCTTTTGGAACATACAGCCCAGAAAGCTCACAGCAGCCCAGTGATTCCAGCCATGAAAACCTTTGACAACTTATTGAACAAGACTATTGTGACTCCTGCTATTTTCTTTAACATGAGCTATGGCAGTTAAAGTGCATTAATTCGTCAAAATAAATGCATCCTTGGTGACACCAAAAACATTGAAAGGGGATCATAACACCATAAACGGTAATATTATTATGGCTGAGTTGTGAGTTTTCTGGGCTGTATGGCCATGTTCCAGAAGCATTCTCTCCTGACATTTCACCTCACAACCTCTGAGGATGCCTGCTATAGATGCAGGCAAAATGTCAGGACAGGAGAGAATGCTTCTGGAACATGGCCATACAGCCCAGAAAACTCACAACAACCCAGTGATTCCAGCCACAAAAGCCTCCAACAATACATTTATTATGGCATTGGTTGTAATGGAGTTCGTCAGGATTGTACAGACTGATATTAAGGTCCGATATTGCATAGAGGTTAAGTAGTATTGCACTGGTCCATGTGTGTATACATATATATGTATACACACACAGGTGTACAGATGTGTTTCCTGTTTTATGATATATATATATATATATATATATATATATATATATGGAAAAATATAAAAGACATAAAAATACGGAACAACTGGATGATGAGATTGGACAATGTTTTCAATTAGGAGATGCAATTGATTTATGTTTTTATTGTTCTTGTTATAGTTTTTATATTATGTATTAATTAATGTTTTTAAATGTTTTATGGTGCTGTTGGGCATTGAATTGTTGCCTCTGTAAACCACCCTGAGTCGCCCGAGGGCTGAGAAGGGAGGTATAAAAATATAGTAAACAAATAAATAAAAATAAGATTTTTTTTTTATTGTTTTCAGATTATGGAATACCTCTGTATCTGTAATGAGATAGCTTTGAATCGGGACCCGACACTCACGACAACATTCAGCTATGTTTCGTATAAACCTTGTTCCATTGATTTTATATTTTGTTATATGGTGTTGATTGTGATTTGCGTACATTTGTAAGGTATTGAATTTTGCCTCTATTTCGGTCTAAACCGCTTTGAGTCATCCCAGGAGTAAGAAAAGTGGTATATAAATATTGTAAATAAATAATAATAAATTATGCACATCGCTCGAAGCATTCAAAACAAGTTAAAGGAGATGCACATCTAGGGTGTCATGCCACTCTGCTTTCCAGAACTGTAAATAATTAATAATTGTGCTATTAATGACAGCGGTGGAATAATTAATTGCAATTTTGAGCTCCTGTTTCTGATTTTTTGCCAAACATGAGAGAAGCCATGCAATCTATACACTGTAGAATGAATACAAGGCTCAAAGCTATGGAATGATTGAAGTTCCAAGGGTCTTGAGCCTTCTTTGCTGCAACTCTCAGGATTCCATTGCATTGAGTCGGTTTAAAAGTGCATTAATTGTGCAGTGTAAATGCACCCAAAGCTCCCACCTTTCCTTTTCCTTACCTCCTGGTAAGAGGACGGCGTCTCTTGGTGTCGGATCATGGCACCGGCGAAGAAGAAGAGGCTGGAAAGAGAAGTGAAGGCGAGAAAGAAAGAGAGAGAGAAAGAGAGAGAGAAAGAGAAGGAGGGGAATCTGGAGGGAGCTGCAGGGACCCAAAAGCAACAGCAGGGGGAGCCCGCGTGCGCACAAAGCCGCCTCTCAATGCATTCCAGATGCAGCTGGCTCCATTCCAAGGGGCGGCCTTTGCAAAAGCCATGGCCGGAGGATGGGGCTTCAGCCTGGCCTTGGCTCTGCTCGGCTGCCCTTTGCTGGGCTTCCAGGAGGCCCACGCCGAGCCTGAGCTGCGCTTCAAGGCTTCTTCTCCCCGGCAGAGGCCCGTCCGGCTCTTCACCGAAGAGGAACTGGTCAGGTACGACGGGAGTCAGGTAGGAAAGGGTCTGCCTTTTCCCATTCTAGTCCTCTGGGTGCTTTTGGACTTCAACTCCCAGAAGCCTCTGCTGCCTGAGCCAATGAGTAAGGCTTCTGGGAATTGAAGTCCAAAGCTCTTGGAAGACCAAACTTTGTGCCAATGATCAAAGTTTGTGGGAGTTGAAGTCCAAAGCACCTGGAAGACCAAACTCTGGGGCAAACACTCTCTTAATACTCTCACTATGTAACACAATTTTAAAAAAATGGTTTGAAAGTGTTATTTTCTCTTTAATTGTGCAGGACTTAACTTTGAAAGTAGTTGTTATACTCACAGGCTTGGGCAAACTTGGGCCCTCCAGGTGTTTTGGACTCCAACTCCCACAATTCCTAACAGCCTATTGGCTCTTAGTAATTGTGGGAATTGAAGTCCAAAACAATTTTGTTTGTTTGTGGCACAAACTATGTTGAATTGCAGGAGACTCTTATGTGATACTCATGAACAAACTAATAATAATACCAATTTTATTTCTTATTAAAATATTATATAATTTATTCTATAATATAATATTTATTAATATACAAGTTTGCCCATGCCTGGTATACACTGTAGAATGAATGCAAGGCTCAAGGCTATGGAATGATTGAAGTTCATTATATAATATAATATTATGTAATATATATATAATGTAATATAATATAATTTTTACATAAAATTATATTATATTATGAACTTCAATCATTCCATAGCCTTGAGCCTTGCATTCATTCTACATCATTTTATGTAATATATATATATATATATATATATATATATATATATTATCATTCTACATCATTTTATGTAATATATATATATATAATGAAATATAATATAATGGGAGCCTCCGGTGGCGCAGTGGGTTAAAGCACTGAGCAGCTGAGCTTGTTGATCGAAAGGTCGCAGGTTTGATTCCGGGGAGCGGCATGAGCTTCTGCTGTCAGCCCTAGCTTCTGCCAACCTAGCAGTTCGAAAACATGCAAATGTGAGTAGATCAATAGGTACCACTCTGGCGGGAAGGTAATGGCGCTCCATGCAGTCATGCCGGCCATATGACCTTGGAGGTGTCTATGGACAACATTGGCTCTTCGGCTTAGAAATGGAGATGAACACCAACTCCCAGAGTCAGACATGACTGGACTTAATGTCAGGGGACAACCTTTACTTAATATAATAATAATAATAATAATAATAATAATAATACAATATTAGAAGTATATATTTTATATTGTATGTAATATTACTAATGCAATATAATGGTATAGTACAATATAGTAATATATAATACTGTTATTATGTAATATAATATTATTATATATTATATAATATAACCCCCATGTCAGACTACACAGAGAAGCCATTGAAATTGACAAGCATGTGGACAATTTCAACAGAAAGGAGGAAACCATGAAAATGAACAAAATCTGGCTACCAGTATTAAAAAAACTCTAAAATTACAACAGCAAAACAACAGAGGCAGGCATGTAGCCCAACAGGCGGCAGCCAGGTTAACTGGTGCTCCTTACAGAGAGAGGTCAACCCTCCTGTTTAAGGAGCTCCATTGGCTGCCGTTCATTTTCCGGTCCCAATTCAAGGTGCAGGTGCTCACCTACAAAGCCCTAAACGGTTTGGGACCCGCCTACCTGCGTGACCGCATCTCCGTATATGAACCAACATGATCCCTCTGTTCATCTGGAGAGGCCCTGCTCACGATCCCACCTGTGTTGCAAGCACGTTTGGTGGGGATGAGGGACAGGGCCTTCTCTGTGGTAGCCCCCCGACTCTGGAACTCTCTCCCCAAGGACATCAGACGTTGGCAGTCTTTAGGAAGAGCTTGAAGACCTGGCTGTTCCAGTGTGCCTTTCCAGAATAGGAAACTCCCAGCATCATGTCCCAAACACACTTTATTCGAGATTTAAGAATGCCTGCACATCGCACCTACCCTAAAATCCTTACATTTCACCTGTCATGCCCAGCACTTTTAATTTTTCCAGGAAGGGCTTCTTCAGCAGCTGTCTAACTACTATAGCAAAATGTGTTGCAGGATGTCCCACAAAAACAAAGTAAAAATAAACCTTTTCCATGCTTTTATCATAGAACCAAGTAGGAAATGACATTTATAACCCAGGAACAGCAATCGTGTTACATAGTGTAATGCAACAACAATCAGTTTTAGCTCACTTTTTTTCTGCATTATTTGGAATTTTGATTGAGTGTTATATCTCATGTTATAATTATTTAATTTATAACCAGAAAATATCAGTATTATTGTCTGAAATGTCTTTTCAGGAAGATGAGCCTATTTACATAGCCGTGAAGGGTGTGGTGTTTGATGTCACTTCTGGCAAAGGTGGGTTCTCCTGGCAAAAGAAGTTTTTCCTCCTGTCACAACCTTCACCTTCCTGTTGGGTCCAGGTTCAGAGAAAGACATCTCAGTAGGCAGCCTCTGATATATCTGGGGACAGAGGAGGTGTCCAGCAGCCTCAATCCTTGCATATGTGTTTTTCTGGATTATTGGGGTTCAGTCTATGAGGGAAGATGGAGCACTGATCAATATCTCCATGCAACCCATTCCTGCCTACAGCCTTATTTTGCCATTTAATTGGAGGATAGATATGGCTAAAAATGGAGATGAATGCCACATTTCACCTTTCGCTTCAACAGAGACTCCATCTGCACTGCCATATAATGCAGTTTGAGACTGCACTGTAGAATCATAGACTCATAGAGTTGGAAGAGACCTTGTGGGCCATCCAGTCCAAACCCTTTCTGGAAAATCACATTCAAAGCACACCCAACAGATGGCCATCCAGTCTCTGCTTAAAAGCCTCCAAAAAAGGAGCCTCCACCATACTCCAGGGCAGAGAGTTCCACTGCTGAACAGCTCTCATGGTTAGGAAGTTCTTCCTAATGTTCAGGTGGAATCTCCTTTCCTGTAGTTTGAAGCCCAGGTTCCGTGTCAAACTACAGGAAAGGGGTTTCCACCTGAACATTATATGGTCGGTGCATATTTATATTCCAATGAGTTAAATGAGATGCTAAATGTTAAGTAGAGATATTGAAATGGAAGAGGAAGGAGCAAAGGTCACACGGTCCATTGACCAGTTGGTGACCCAACTACAGATCCAGACTGGTGTGTAGGTTCTTTGCCTTTCTGGTCCCGCCAGTTCACAAATTCGCAATAGCAGTAACAAAACTGCCATTGTTTAAAATGTAGAGATATGGAATGTAGAGTTAGCTTTATACAACTGTATATTGGTAATATAATAAGCTTACCATTCTTTTTCTTTTCTTTTTCTTTTTTTTTTTTGTCGTGTCAGGAGCGACTTGAGAAACTGCAAGTCGCTTCTGGTGTGAATGGGACAGATGCTAAGTATGTTCTTTGCTGATGGAATCTAATTTTTATACACAGAGTTAAAGTCCCAAAATTTATTGCTCAGGTACCAAATTTCTAAGATCAGAAGGAACAATGTGCTTGGAACTGTTCAAGCCTTATTTACAATTTTTTACTCATCAGCAAATTGCAAAATGAAATACGTTACCCTCTGAAATACCAGTGAGATGATTTGCAAGTTATAGAATTATTGATTATTATGTTGTTTGTTTATACCCCACAAGGAGACTCAAAGTGGCTTATATTAAAAGCATTTCAATACAATTTAAAACCTACACATGTACAAACATTAAAACAGAATTAAATATCAATGGTATTTTTAAAAATCACAGTTAAAATCCACCTGCTCAATACTATATCTATAAAAGCTCGTGCAAAAATAGAACCAATTATGCTTAAAGATATGATAGGTTGTGTATCTCTTACCTAAAATGCTTGGGATCAGAAGTCTTGAGGATTTGGGATTTTTTTTAAAATTTGCAACATCTGTACAGGTCTATTATAAGTACATAATATATCATGGAAATGACATCCAGGTCTAAACACTACATTATATTTATGTTTCATATATACTAGGTTTGTGCATTTCAGCTGAACCTTGATCCATTTCTGCTGGCTGGATTCTGTTAGCCCCCCCCCCCCCCAATATTCGTTTTCGCACACCTCCTGTAAACGGGCGGGTAGCCAGATAGTTGTTTTTGGTCCGCAGCCAAAAAATGTGCCTAGATCTGGCCCATTGGCGGCAATGGAGAACTTACGAGGCTCCCCTTTCTGTTCCTGGGATCCTTTCCTTTATTCCCTTCAAGGAAGCCTGGGTTTCAGCAATGGGGTTAAGGAAGCAGGCACAGGTTATGTAAAACACGTCACTGCATTCTTCTATTTCAATTGGCCCAACAGGTCTCTGGACTTCAACTCCCAGAAGCCTCTGCTGCCTGAGCCAATGATCAGGGCTTCTGGGAGCTGAAGTCCAGAGCACCTGTTGGGCCAATTGAAATATAAGAACGCCGTGACGTGTTTTACGCAAGCTGTGTCTGCTTCCTTAACCCCACTGCTGAAACCCAGGCTCCCTTGAAGGGAATAAAGGAAAGGATCCCAGGAACAGAAAGGGCAGCCTCGTAAGTTCTCCATTGCCAAACTTTGGGGCAAACACTCTCTTAATACTCTCACTATGTAGCACATTTTAAAATTTATTTATTTATTTATTTATTTAAAGCATTTATATTCCGCCCTTCTCACCCCGAAGGGGACTCAGGGCGGAGCACAACATATAAACAGCAAACATTCATGATGCTGAATAGGGGAGAAGGAGCTGGATTGGCTGCCACATGATCCCATAATGGACGAAAAACGTGACGGCTGAACTCTTGCTGTTACAGCCATCCAACCAAGCCAAAGAAGCTGGATTGGCTGAAGGGAACCGACCACTTCGAATCCATGCACAGGCCTAGTGTATACCTTATGTAATTTTATACACTATTTTAAATTTGTGCATGAAACATAGTTTGAGTCCATGAGAAATCAAAGGTATGACTATCTCAACCCCCCATGTAGACAATTGTGGACAATTGTGGTATTTTGGATTTCCTGATAAGGGATACTCAACTTGTATCATATTTCTTCCCCCCCCCCCCCCCGGGTCCCTCTTCTTTTTTATGTTGAAAGGTATAAGTGATAGAGTTTTAAAACACATCATGGATTTGTGCTTATTAATTTCTTCTTCTTGGAACAGAGTTTTATGGGAAAGGAGCACCATACAATGCACTGGTTGGCAAGGATTCGACACGTGGAATTGCAAAGATGTCTCTCAATCCCGAGGATCTCACCCATGATACAGTAAGGAAATGAGAAATCTGTTCTGTTCTGCAAATAGAGGCCATAATTTTGGAAATTATTTTATGACATGTAGTTCTTTCATGTCTGAGTGGTACCTATAGCACCATACTCAGGCCGCCCTGAGTCCCCCTTTGGGGGGAGAAGGGCGGGATATAAATATAGGAAATAAATAAATAAATAAATGTATATAAAATCAAAGATGGATGGTAAGCAAGGAAGAATTTCTTCAAGAACGGCAATCAAAAGACTGGGGGTTGATCAGTAGCTATATGGTAGTAATTACAGTCATCACAGCTGGCTCTGCAATTAGATAGACTAGAGTGAAGCAGTTGCCATCAATGTGATGCTTAGAAACAGCAGCAAGATATTGGAGAAGAGAGTTCCATTGGGATTACCAAATACCTTTAAACTGTTTTAAGGATTGAATACTAAAATATTACATTGCACAACACTAGCAGCAAAAATACTTTATGCCCCAAAATACAGACTTGCCATCAAGAGAAAATTGGATTATAAACATGCGAAGAATAGCAGAAATGCACAAATTATCTAGTTTGACAAAACAGAAATCTGTGGATGCCTTTTAAAATGTCTTATGTCAAAAATTTTAAAATTGTGAAGATTGTTGTTTGTGTTGCTGAATTCTTTCATTTCTGTGCATAGAGCAATCTGGATGCTGTGGTCATGTATTGCAACAGTTTATCATCATCATTTGTATCAGTCAGACCAAGTAGAAAAGTCTCAGGATTTATGTAACTGGATATTTTCTCCAAAAACTTTTTAGATCACATATGTATTTGAATGTAATATTTCTTGGCATGTTTACACGTCTACCACATAGAGTAGAAGGACCCCATTTGCTGTTTACATTTCCAGCAAGTGTTGGAAACCTTTTTAGACATCTTGGAAAGCTTTTCAGGAGTCATATACCATTGGTACATCATTTTATAAAAATTCTCTTTCAAAATACCGAATAACTTAAAATTTAACCCCTTGTTCCAGATTTTTCGCATTGGTCCAACATTATATTATGCTGATCCTGGCAATCTTCCAATCAATGCATCTTTCTCATATATTGGGGTATGAAGAGAGTGACCTGTGGGCCATATGCAGACTGTAGGTCACAGTTTCTGATCATGAAGTGCCTCTAAACCTCCTAGTCCTTTTGAATTAAACTTGCTATGAGATTTTAGGAGTTGTCCCTAAATAGTGACTTCCATGCCCATGAGAACCAGTCATGTTTGTGTGTGTGTTAGGAGTGACTCGAGAAACGACAAGTTGCTTCTGATGTGAGAGAATTGGCCGTATGCAAGGATGTTGCTCAGAGGATGCCCGGATATTTGATTTTTACCATCCTTGTGGGAGGCTTCTCTCATGTCCCTGCAAGGGAAGCTGGAGCTGATAGAGGGAGCTCAACCTGCTTCTCCAAGATTCAAACCGCTGACCTGCCAGCACAAGGGTTTAACCCATTGTGCCATCAGTCTTGTAACATAGCAGAAATATGGTAATTGATTTTATTTATTTCTTTTTCCTTCCCTCCACACCCTCTTTGCACAATTGTCTTCATCGAGGTGGGGCTGACAGAAGAGGAGCTGAAATCTCTGGACGAGACCTTCAATAATGTCTACAAAGCCAAGTATCCTATTGTTGGCTACACGGCCAGAAGGATTCTCAATAAGGACGGCAGCCCCAACCCAAACTTCAAACCTGAAGATCAGCCACATTTCACCATTAAGGATGAGTTTTGACCAAAGACCTGTGGATCTGTGGCTATTTGCCTGACATTATGATTTTATGAATCATAAGTTCTAGGCATAGCTTGAATGCTGATTTGTAGTCCAGGGTTTCCAAACCTTTGTTCTCCTCGTAAAGATATATAGCACATGGACTTTGTTGAGGTGAGGGTACAGTGCCTTCCTGTCTGCTAACTAAATCAAAGTCCTTAAGGAAAGATCAATAATTAGTGTCTAACTGCAAGATTTCTGTGATTCAGTGAAGAGACAATGTATTGTTGAAGGCTTTCATGGCTGGAATCACTGGGTTGCTGTGAGTTTTCCAGGCTGTATGACCATATTCCAAAAGCATTCTCTCCTGACGTTTCACCTGCATCTATGGCAGGCATCCTCAGAGGTTGCCTCCCATGGATGCAGGCAAAATGTCAGGAGAGAATGCTTCTGGAACATGGTTATACAGCCCAGAAAACTCACAGCAACCTAATGGACACTTCATTTTCAAATTGCCAAAACATAAGCGACACAGCTATCAAAACATTTATTTGTTCAGACTAAAAATGTTTCCCTATGTTTACACGTAAATAAGACTCATACATTAATTGTTCCCAGGATCATAAATCAAACTGATCTTCTGATTCACAATGAATAGAAAGGCTTTTTCTTTCTTTCCCACCACTTAGGGGCAATTAATATTTTATTGTATTATTACTGTATTATTTTGTTATATTATTATAATTATTATTATAATAACTATATCTCAATAACATTTTTATGGTTCCTGCCATTTTGCTCTTCATACCCCCTACCCACACATGTCCCCATTTGTCCCTTCCGTGACATGACCAAAAGGACTTGCAGTTCCTGTGGTCATGACACTAACATGGATGTTTACATTTCTGTTTTACTTCCCCTTTCATCCTGGCATAGGGATATATAGGCACACATGTGCATACTACTGCATGTGCGCACACACTTTATGCACACTGGGAAAATGGGCTGGCATTAGTCCTGACAAGTGCTCCCATTTTAGGGTTTTCCATTACGTTATTCTTTCTGCCACTTTTTTGCACCCACTGAGGATGCTATTCAGTTGTCATTGAACTAATGCTGTATTTCTTCTATTCTAAGACACCATTGATTGTAAGACACTACCACTAACAGGAAAAAAAGCTTTATTTATATATAAAAATCAGCACCCACAATTCTAAGAATCGCCCTGTTTTTAGAGATGTCCTTATGGGCAAAAATTGCATCTGAGAATCAAATTAATACTATGTATTGTCGAAGGCTTTCATGACTGGAATCACTGGGTTGTTGTAGGTTTTTTCGGGCTATATGGCCATGTTCTAGAGGCATTTTCTCCTATGCCATAGATGCAGGCGAAACGTCAGGAGAAAATGCCTCTAGAACATGGCCATATAGCCCGAAAAAACCTACAACAACCCAAATTAATACTATTGTTTTTTTTTTGGATGAGTGTTATTGTCCCTCTTCCTTTCCCTCTTCGCTCCCCATTTTTACAAATCTTAGTTTCTCCCAATCTATGGAGGGAGTATTCCTTGAGAGGAAGAGATGCATGGAAAATGGGTTTGTTGTTAATGTGGTCTAAAACTCCATGGGTAGATGCTACGTGAGGTCTTCTGTCAATGGTGGGGCCATCAAAAGGCAGCCACTTTTATCCCCCTCCTCCTGTTCGCTATAGTTAGAAAACCTATGCAGGGTTTAGTTCCTGGATTGGTTTTGTTGGCTGGGGGATTCTGGGAAGTGTAGTCCATCCCAGACTGTGGAAGTTCTAGATCCGAACTGTACAGCCTCCAGATCCCTCCTGCCACCTCCAAGCAAAGTGATGCCTAATGCCTAGCAAAACTGCTTCATTTGGGACTTCAACCAGGAGTCTGAAGACTGCCAATGCATTTTACATGCCACCCAACAATTTAGATTATGATAAGGTAATTTTGGCTTGAGTTTACAGAGATAAGGTGTCATTTGCTTACCAGGACTTTTCCACGTTCATAACTTGCACTGGGTTTTGTTGTAATCTTATGTACATTATTCTTATGTTTATTTATACCCCACTTTTTCTCTCCACAAGGAGACTCAAAGCGGCTTACACTAAAAGCATTTCAATACAGTTTAAAATATACAAATATACAAACATTAAAACAGAATTAAATATAATTGGTATTACAAAATTCTGTTAAAATCCATAAAAACATATTCAAAACATGCAGCGCAGATATGTGATAGACCCACTTACACATGACTTGCAGAGGCTAGTTAAGCACTGATTGGTCCTGCACATTTGTAAGTTTAATCTTTGCATATTTTATTATTCCTGGATTTGATTAATTTGATCTATTTGGGAATTACTAGGTCCCCCAGCATGACCTTATGGTAAACTTCCACCAGGTCCACACTGGAAGATCTAAAATGGATATTTCTGTAGGCATTTGTAAGGGGCCACGGTGGTGCAATGAGTTAAACCATTGAGCTGCTGAGCTTGCTGACCTGAAAGTTGGCAGTTTGGATCTGCGCGAACGGGTAAGCTCCCGCTATTAGCCCCAGCTCCTGCCAACCTAGTAGTTTGAAAACATGCAAATGTGAGTAGATAATAGGTACTGCCTTGGCAGGAAGGTAAACGGCACTCCATGCAGTGATACTGGCCACACAACTTAAGGAGGTGTCGATAGACAACACTGGTTCCTCTGCTTGGAAATGGAGATGAGCACTCTCAGAGCTGGAGATGAAAGGGGAAGCCTTTGTCTGTGTATTTCTTTCATTGTTTCAAGGCACTGAATGTTTTCCTGTGTCTGTTTATATATGCTGGAATCTGCCCTGAGTCCCCTCAGCTAGATAGGGCAGAATATAAATCAAGTGTTATTATTATATATAGGTCCTCCAGCACAAACTTTTGGTCCATTTCTTGCAGAAGTTGACCATTGAGTTGCACTGGAGGACCTAGAAATTCCTAGAGACAATATAGGTATTTGTAGATCCTCCAGCACAATCTTTTGGTCACTTTTTGGCGGAAGGTGATGGACAGGAAGATCTAGAGCAGTGGTTCTCAACCTGGGGTCCCCAGATGTTTTTGGCCTTCAATTCCCAGAAATCCTAACAGCTGGTAAACTGGCTGGAATTTCTGGGAGTTGTAGGCTAAAAACATCTGGGGACCCCAGGTTGAGAACCACTGACCTAGAGGCATGATCTTGCAAGTAAAAAACGACATCTTTTTTATTTGTATTTTTCCACTTTGGTGGAAGTCTTGTGCCTTTAATACCCACGAAAGTGGAGGGTTTACATAAAAACACTATACGGATGTATGGACACTCTGATTGCTTCGGGGTTCCAATACTTTTAAGTACATTAAGATAACTTTGTTGTGACGCCAGGATTTCCTACTAAGATTCAATTACAGTCTTTTGCCAACTTCTGTCTAAGTCTGATTCTTTGTCTGTATTACTATGGCTTGAACATACTCGATTTCCTATCCCCAGGGAAAAGGTTGTGTTTGTTTCTCCATGATATGTAGCCTAATTTCCATTATCTCCAGTACCTTCCAAGACAAGAGGAGTGCTTTTCTGTCTGTCAGATGCCGATTAGTAAATCTCCCAGGCCCTTAATTTGCATGAGTGCTGGAGAACATTCATGCTTATGCTAGGCAAAGGGATGCTAACCACAGCCTGCGGGGATTGTGTCTTCTTATGCTGATTTACCTGACAGCCTGAATTACCAATACGGTGTTGAGCAGGAGATCTTAATTCTCCCAAGATGAAATGTTTTTTTCCTCCTCACTAATCTCTCCACTGCTTTCTTTCCCAGAGTAAATGTTTACTCATCTTCTTCTCTCAGGGGTTTTGTACACATGAAATTACAGAAAGCAAATGTATTGTCAAGACGGGGTTCATAGTGTCCTTTGGGCATTTGACTACAGGTGCATCTTCATAGCATTGAGCTATTGCACTTGAACTGCCATAGATCAATGCTATGGAATCATGGGAGTTATAGTTCTACAAGGTTTTTAGCCTTCTCTGCCAATGCCCCAACAAACTAAAAAAAATCTGAATCCCATAGCATTGAGCCATGGGCAGGTCTGGTGTCATCAAACTGCATTAATTCTGCAGCATAGATGCACTTCTGACTCTGGAGAACTGGGGTTGAAGCCTCGTTCAGCCATGGAAATCCATAAGGGTGACCTCTTGGGCAAGTCACCTTCTTTCAGAAGAATGCAAACTTTAACAAATATGGATTCAACTGGCAGGAGATTCAGGATGAAAAAAGGAAATACATTACGAAGTGCAAAATATTTGGATTTCATTGCCAGGCATTATTAGGAGAACCATTGGCCTGATGATAAAAGGGGATTTTTTTGTTTATTTGTTCAGTCGCTTCCGACTCTTCATGACCTCATGGACCAGTCCACGCTAGAGGTCTCTGTCAGCCATCACCACCCCCAGCTCCTTCAAGGTCAAGCCAGTCCCTTCAAGGATATCATTCATCCATCTTGCCCTTGGTTGGTCCCTCTTCCTTTTTCCTTCCATTTCCCCCAGCATCATTATCTTCAAGCTTTCCTGTCTCCTCATGATGTGGCCAAAGAACTTCATCTTTGCCTCTACTATTCCTTCCAGTGAGCAGTTGGGCTTTATTTCCTGGAGAATGGACTGGTTTGATCTTGCAGTCCAAGGCACTCTGCTTCCAGCATCACAGCATCTATCTTCCTTCGCTCAGCCTTCCTTATGGTCCAGCTCTTGTATCCATATGTTACTATCGGGAATATCATTGCTTTTACTATGCGGACCTTCGTTGCCAGTGTGATGTCTCTTCTTCATTATTTTATCGAAATTGGCCATTGCTCTCCTCCCAAGAAGTAAACTTTATCTGATTTCCTGGCTGCTGGTTGCATCTACAGTAATCTTCATGCCTAGAAATACAGTCTCACTGTCTACATGTTTTCTCCCTCTATTTGCCCATTGGCAATCTGTCTGGTTGCCGTAATCTTGGTTTTTTAAAAAATGTTTAACTGAAACTTAGTTTTTGCACTTTTTTCTTTCACCTTGGTTAGAAGGCTCCTCAGTTCCTCCTCGCTTTCGGCCATCAAAATGGTATCATCTGCATACCTAAGGTTGCTAATATTTCTTCCAGCAATTTTAACTCCAGCCTTGGATTCATCAAGCCCTGCATGTCGCACAATGTGTTCTGCATACCTTAACTCTTATCAAGAAGAAACCAATCCATTCTCTGAGTAGAGTGCTGAAAGTGGAAAGCTTAGACCATCCTGGGAGAACCTAAAAGAAGCACATTTCCACTTTCTAACATGATGCAATTTCTGGCTTTCTTGAATGCTTTGATGTGGAAATGGTGGTGGCTGAGCCCTTGAGGTGGCATTGTTGCTTTCCCCTCTCCACAGAATGACCCTTGACTTATCCATGGATCATATCAAAATCCATAACTATGCCCTCCAAATTTGCGCACACACCTCCCTTATACATGAGGCTGACTTATACATGAGTATATGCTGGCACTTGCCTGCCTCTCTCTTCCCCAGCATTGCAATCCCAGCTGCTTTCCTTTGATAGTTCAAGTTGGTGTTCTCATTGTTATGGGGCCATCTACTGGCAGAAAAAGAAAAGACAGCTGATTGCAGAAATATGCAAGCCTCCTTGAGTCCCTATATCAGGATGAAGTCAGGACAATAAGTAAATAAATAACCTTCTCATATCACCATTAACATTCTGGATATGAATAATGTATCAGTAAAATGTTTCCCTTCGAGAGAACTTCTCTACAACTTCTGGTAGAGGGTATTTTATTTATTGTGTCAGAAGTGAATTGAGAATACAGTTATAATGTATAAAAAATCCACAAAGTTAAAAACTTGGCTTTATACTAAATTTCTTTTGACCAGAAGCTGGCCACTTGGAGTGCCTCTGGTGTCACTATAAGAAGGTCCTCTGTTATGTATATGGCGGGGCTCAGACTGCATTGTAGTAGGTGGTCTGTGGTTTGCTCTTTGCCATGCTTGCAAGTCGTGGACTCCACTTTGTGGCCCCAATTTTTACGGTTGATTCTGCACTTTGTGGTGCCAGAACACAGTCTGTTCAAGTCGTCCAGTCTTCTATGTGCTCGAGAGGGGAATCTCTCATCTGGCATCAGCCACTGATTGAGGTTTCAGGTTTTAGTCTGCCACTTTTGGACTCTTGCTTGCTGAGGTGTTCCTGTATCTCTGTAGATCTTAGGAAGCTATTTCTTGAAGGTGACCCTACATTTGTTGTTGTTTTACTATAACTTCTAGAATTAATCATTGGCTATGCTGACTGTAGTTTATGGAATTTGCTGTCTAAACACATCTGAAAGGTGACATGTTTCTCATCCTTCCAGTATACCAAGCTACATTCTTAGGGTGCATCTGCACCGGAGAATTAACACAGTTCGACACCACTTTAACTGCTGTGGCTCAAAACTATGGAATCCTTGGAGTTGAAGTCTGATGAGGCACCAGCATTTTTTGGCACACTATGTTAAAGAGCTTGTACAACTACAATTCCCATGATTCCGCAGCACCATGACAGTTCAAGTTGTGTCAAACTGCATTAATCCTACTGTGTAGATGTACCTATAGTTTCTATTCTGTTTTCTTTAGTAAAAATGTGCATCTATTTTGTTTGCTGGTTTCAGAAGCATTTCTGAATGGGCCATTTTAGCGCTTATCTGCCTGCTTCCTGTAATCAGCCAGTTTACCCAAAATGTTGCCTATCCTTTCCTTCACAGCAACTTAATCTGACATTGTCAGCTGTGCATGTAAAGTATGTGGCCTTGAGTGCTGATCCTTCAAGGAGGACAGTTTCTTTGTAACGCAGTCTGCCTTCCAGATAACACGAAGATGCCCGTTTGTGGCTTGAGTGATGAACATCAGCACTACAAAAGACCTGTTATGTATCGCAATAGAGTTCAGAATCCATTCAGAATCAAGTACAGGTTCAGTATCCCTTATCCAAAATGCTGGTAACGAAAAGTGTTCCATATTGGATTTTGGAACATTTGCATATACATAATGAGATATTTTGGAAATTACACCCAAGTCTAACCACAAAATTATTTCTAGCACCCTCTAGAAATAATATCACATGAAAGCTAATTGGCACAACCTGGGGATCACAACCAAACATAGTGAAGACATCTGCCCTTGCGATTTACTACTTGTCTGCTGAGTATGCATGCCCAGTGTGGAATAGTTCTCACCACATTAAAACAGTGGATGTGGCTCTTAATGAGACATGCACAGGAGGTCTACTCCCCACACCACAGGAGGAATTATACTGTTTAGCCACTATTGCACCACCTGACATTTGTCGGGAAGTAGCAACCAATAATGAAAGGACCAAGGCATCTCTGGCCCATCCTCTTTTTGGATATCAGCCAGCATGCCAACACCTGAAATCAAGAAATAGCTTTCTAAAATCTACAAAGATACTGGGTTGTTGTAGGTTTTTTTGGGCTAATTGGCCATAGTCTAGAGGCATTCTCTCCTGACGTTTCGCCTGCATCTATGGCAAGTATCCTCAGAGGTAGTGAGGTCTGTTTGAACTAGGAAAATGGGTTTATATATCTGTAGAATGATCAGGGTGGGACAAAGAACTCTTGTCTGTTGGAGCTCGGTGTGAATGTTTCAACTGACCACCTTGATTAGCATTTGATGGCCTGGCATTGCCTGGGGCAATCTTTTGTTGGGAGTGATTTGATGTGCCTGATTGTTTACTTTCTGTTGTTTTGCTGTTGTAATTTTAGAGTTTTTTTTAATATTGGTAGCCAGATTTTGTTCATTTTCATGGTTTCCTCCTTTCTGTTGAAATTGTTCACAAGCTTGTGGATTTCAATGGCTTTCTCTGTGTAGTCTGACATGGTGGTTGTGAGAGTGGTCCAGCATTTCTGTGTTCTCAAATAATATGCTGTGTCCAGGTTGGTTCATCAGGTGCTCTGCTATGGCTGACTTCTCTGGTTGAAGTATTCTGCAGTGCCTTTCATGTTCCTTGATTCGTGTTTGGGCAATGCTGCGTTTGGTGGTCCCTATGTAGACTTGTCCACAGCTGCATGGTATACGGTAGACTCCTGCAGAGGTGAGAGGATCCCTCTTGTCCTTTGCTGAATGTAGCATTTGTTGGATTTTCTTAGTGGGTCTGTAGATAGTTTGTATGTTGTGTTTCCTAATCAGCTTCCCTATGCGGTCAGTGGTTCCCTTGATGTACGGCAAGAACACTTTTCCTCTGGGTGGATCTTTGTCTTGACTCTCATGGCTTTTTCTCGGTTGTCTTGCAGCTCTTCTGATGTCTGAGGTGGAGTCTCCATTGGCCTGTAGAGCCCAGTTGAGGTGGTTCAGTTCATCTTGAAGGAGGTGGGGTTCGCAGATTCTTTTTGCACGATCTGCCAAGGCTTTCA